GGCTTTTCTTAAATGTTCACGGTCACTCACCTAGTAATCTGTTCTGGGACTTGCCATGCATGGATGTCAAATTATTCTTTTCAGGGGACCAACAGTTAGTGTAATGGTTATGTCACTGGACTCCCATGTATTGGACCGTGGTTCGAGTCCCAGACCCGGTGGCTTAAACTCATCCCGGGCACATGTGCGTGTGTGCCCAAGATCCTGAGTGGGGAACCAGCAGGTGTCGTGGTGGTTAAAGCACTGGACACTCCCACATGGCCGACCGTGATTTGAGCCCTGGACCTGGTGGTTTGCTTTCTCACTTTTCCTCTCTCTTGGTGTCTCTCTCTCTCTGGTCAAATTTAAATGAATGAATGAATAAATTAAAAAAAAATCCCGAGAGGAAAATGGAGGAGAAGGGATTGCTGCGTGGCCATCCCCCTGGGAGGTGATTTCTCGCTTTCTGTCTCCCTGTCTCTCTCTGTCTTTCTGGCAAGCACATGTGCCCTCAGCAAAAACCTCTCAAATAAATAAATAAATCATGAAAAAAAATAATTGTTGTTTTCAGAATTTAACATTTACTCCTTTGGGTAAAATAAAATGCCAGCAGTGGGGCCAGCAGGTGGCATGGTGTCTGAGTGTTCTGGACTCCCACATGGCTCAGCATGTGGGTTTGAGTCCTGGACCCGACAGCTTGCTTTCTCACTTTCTCTCTCTCTCTCTCTCTTTCACTGTGTTCCTCTTTGGTCAAATTAAACATAAATAAATAATGTTGAATAAAATAATCCTTTAAAAAATGCCAGCAGTTTTTGTGAGGTAAGTCTGTTTACCAGCAGCTTTCCCCAGTACTTACAAGTCCAGAGTCCTCCCCCTCCTCTTCACTTCTGGAGGCGTGGCTTCCTGCCTCAGCTCCAGAATCCCCTGCCCACCCACATCCAGCCACATGGGCCTCCTTGGTTGGTTGGCCATTTATTTATTTACTTTTATCATCATTATTATTTTTAAAATTTGCTATGAGGAGGTGGTAGGTGGAGTGGTGGTTCAGGTGCTGGACTCCCTACATGGCCAACCATGGTTCAAGTCCTGGAGCTGGTGGCTTGCTTTCTCACTCTCTGCTCAAATTAAATAATAATGTTAATAAAAGTAATAAATAATAAATAAAATAAATAATTCTTAAAAAAATTTGCTACAGTGCTCTCACCAGACACACACACACACACACAGAGTGGGGGGGAAGGGCAGAGAGAGAAACTGTGAAAGCAAACCACCTGGTCTGGGACTTGAACCTCAGTTGGCCATGTGGGAGTCCAGCACCATAACCACCATACCACTTGCTGGCCCCTGGTTCATTATTTATCTAGCTAGTTAATTAGCTAGATAGTGAACTATTTAGTTAGTTAAGCTAGTTACCTGGCTACTTAGTAAGCTAGTTATTCAGTTATTGAGTCACTTACTATTTAGTTATTAAGTAGCTATTCAGCTGGTTGGTTAGCTAGTTCATTAGTTAATTGGCTGATTGTTTAGCAAGTTAGTTGCCTAGTCAGCTAGGAGTTAGTTGACTAGTTAGTTGGTTAGTCACTTATTTTGTTATTTAGTTAGCTAGTTAGTTAGATAGCTAGCTAGTAAGTTAGCTAGATATTTAGTTCTTTAGTCAGTTATTTGATTGGTTCGTTAGTCAGTTATATAGTTATTCATTTATTTTTTTAAATCTTATTTTTGTTATTATTTTTAAATTTTCTATAGGGCATGTGAGCTTACTCAAAAAGGAGAGAGAGGGAAACTGAGAAAGCAAGCAGCCAGATCTGGGACTCGACCTGTGGTCAGTCATGTGGGAGACCAGTGACTTAACCACTATGCCACCTGCTGGACCCTCAGTTATGTCGTTAGCTCTTTATTTATGTATTTATAGACAGGCCTTCTTCAACAGGGTCTTGTTGCTACAATCCACTCCCAATCCAGCCACATGGGCTTCCTTGGTTGGTTATTTATTTACTTATAGTTATCTGGTCAACTAGCTAGTTAGTTGTCTTGCTACTGAGTTGACTTACTAGATACTTGCTAGTAAGCCAGTTATCAATATCTAATTCTAGCTAGTTAGCTAGTTATTAGACTTAACTGGTAGTTAACTAGCGAGTCATTTAACTAACTACTGAAGGCTATCTAGTCAACTGGTTAGTTGGTTAACTAGTTAGCTAGAGAATTGGTTAACTAGTTATCAAACCAGTTGGTTTATTATCTAACTACTTAGTTAGCTAGGCAACTAGTTAGTTGGTTAGCTACCTAGTTAGTTGTTGATTAGTCAAATAGTCAGCTAACTGGTTGCTTAGCTAGTCAACTCATTGGGTGACTAGTTAGTTGTCAGTTACTTTGATGGTTAGCTAGTAGATTGAGTTAGTCAGTTAGCTAGTTAGTTGGTTGTTTTACTGGTTAGTTGGCTAGTTAAATAGTTTGTTGGCTAGTTAGCTGGTTATTTAACTTGTTGATCAGTTTGTCAACAGTTAGCTAATTGGTTAGGTGGCTAGCTAGTTGGTCAGTTAACTAGTTATTAGGTGATTGCTTAAGTTAGTTGTTTAGCTAACTAGTAGTCTTACTGGTTAGCTAGTTTATAAGTATCTTTGCTAGTTAGTAGGTTAGCTTATTTCACTAGTTAGGCAATTAATCAGCTCATTGTTTAATTAGTTGCATAGTTGGCTAGCTAGTTAGATAACTAGCTAGTTAGTTGGATGTTTAGTTAACTGGATAGCTAGCTAGCTAGTTGGCAAGCTAGGAGGTTGGTTAGCTTGCTAGTAAGTATTCTACTTAGCTTGTTAGTTGGTAAGCTATCTAGTTAGTAGGTTAGCTGGTTTGCTAATTAGCTGTTAATTGGTGAGTTAGGTAGTTACTTAGTTAACTAGTTATTTGGTTATTTTGCCAGTTAATTGTCCAGTTAGCTTGCTACCTGTTAGCTATTCAGTTAGTTGGTTAGCTAGTTTATTAGCTAATTGACTGTTTTTAGCTACTTACCTACTTAGTTGCCTGGCTAGTTAGCTTGCTACCTAACTACTTTGCTAGCTAGCTACCTAGTTTGTTGGTTAAATAGTGAGCTAGTTAGCTATTTGTTTGATGGGTGGTTAGCTGGTTTGTTGGCTAATTAGTTAACTGGTTAGTTATCTAGGTATCTAGTTAGCTAGTCAGTTATTTAGTTTATCTGTTATTTAGTTATTTAGTCAGGCATTCAGTTAGTTAATTATTTAGTTAGTTAGTTCTTGGTGATTTAGTTAGTTATAGATGGGCCTCCCCAACAGTCTTGTTGCCACAATCCACTGCTAACCCAGGCACACAAGCCTTCTTCATTGGTGGATTATATATCTAGATAGGCATCCTCCAAAAGGGTCTTGATGCCATAATCCACTGGCAGCTTCAGCCAGCCGTAGATCACTGGCATGTGTGCGCCCAGCATACTTAAGTTTTCTGATGTGAACTCTGAACCTTCCCATGTGGAACAGCCTTGCAGAGTATTGCATTTTACTGTTGTGCCTGCTTCTACCTCAGGAACTTTTCACTGGCTGCTCTTTCTGTCTAGAACACTTGACCTCCGTGTAGCCCAATGGCTCTTCATTCATCTCTGCTCAGCAAGTCCTTGCCTGACAACCACCTAAAACACCAGTCCCCCTCCCACACCCACAGTGTCTATCACTGTCACCTCATCTCTCTTTTTCACAGCATTGACTGCCGCTGCCCTTGGATTTATGTATCTGCTCTTTTTTTTTTTTTTTTAAAGAATTCTTTTACTTCACTTTATTTATTTATTTTGGAGAGAGAGAGAGAAAGCGAGAAAGCAAGTTGCCAAGTCTGGGACTGAAACCACAGTCGCTACCTAGTTTGTTGGTTAAATAGTGAGCTAGTTAGCTATTTGTTTGATGGTGGTTAGCTGGTTTGTTGGCTAATTAGTTAACTGGTTAGTTATCTAGGTATCTAGTTAGCTAGTCAGTTATTTAGTTTATCTGTTATTTAGTTATTTAGTCAGGCATTCAGTTAGTTAATTATTTAGTTAGTTAGTTCTTGGTGATTTAGTTAGTTATAGATGGGCCTCCCCAACAGTCTTGTTGCCACAATCCACTGCTAACCCAGGCACACAAGCCTTCTTCATTGGTGGATTATATATCTAGATAGGCATCCTCCAAAAGGGTCTTGATGCCATAATCCACTGGCAGCTTCAGCCAGCCGTAGATCACTGGCATGTGTGCGCCCAGCATACTTAAGTTTTCTGATGTGAACTCTGAACCTTCCCATGTGGAACAGCCTTGCAGAGTATTGCATTTTACTGTTGTGCCTGCTTCTACCTCAGGAACTTTTCACTGGCTGCTCTTTCTGTCTAGAACACTTGACCTCCGTGTAGCCCAATGGCTCTTCATTCATCTCTGCTCAGCAAGTCCTTGCCTGACAACCACCTAAAACACCAGTCCCCCTCCCACACCCACAGTGTCTATCACTGTCACCTCATCTCTCTTTTTCATAGCATTGACTGCCGCTGCCCTTGGATTTATGTATCTGCTCTTTTTTTTTTTTTTTTAAAGAATTCTTTTACTTCACTTTATTTATTTATTTTGGAGAGAGAGAGAGAAAGCGAGAAAGCAAGTTGCCAAGTCTGGGACTGAAACCACAGTCGGCCATGTGGGAGTTCAGCACCCTTAACCACTTCGCCACATGCTGGCCCCTGTATCTGTTCACTCTTCCCCTCCACTTGGGCACTGGCACCCTGAGGGCAAGGGGTCTACTGTGTTCACTGCTGTTCTCCAGCCCTGGAGCAGCAGCAGTCACAAAGTAGGTGCTTAATAGGTATTAATTGAATACATGACTCAGCACATCCCTCAGGACCCCAGAGGGACCCAAAGATGATCATTTGCAACTTTGACCCTGGCAGAGACAAGACCCTCTCTACTCACACTTCCACCAGCCCCAGGTCCCCACCCCAATATCCCTTCAGTCTCCCTTCAATCCTTCTCTTCTCCTCCAACCCCAAAAGCACATGGTGGGGCTGGGGCTCAGGTTCTTTATTAGGCAACAGGAAAGAGGGCGCTCAGCTTTGCTGGAGGGGAAGGGCACCAGAAAGTGCCCTGGAACAGCTCCAGCCCACGGTGTCAGAGCTAGGGACCAACTGGATGGAGAAGAGGGGGCTGGTGGCACCACACTCAATCCTCTTGCTCCAACAGACTGCCACTCCTCCTCTTTGTCACTCCTCTTCAACGTCTTCCTCCAGGGGCGGCCGGTTCCGCTTGAAGAAGCCGACCTAGGGGTGTACAGGGGCCGGGGTCAGGCCCCGGAATATTAGTAGGGAAGAATGCTAGTAGCCAGTCAGCCATGATGTTCTCTCCCATGACCAAGGCTGAACACAATGGAGACCTTTCCCACCTACAGGGAATGCATGTGATAGTCGGGGTTTGGTGTTTCTGTGTTTTCAGGTTTTCCCCCAGAATTGTGCTTCAATACCAATGTGTGAGCCTCTGCATCACTCAAGCTCAGGATTCCATGTATTCTATTATTACAGGTCTAATGTGTGGCTTTCCCTAAAGTGCCAGGTCTTCCCAGGACTAAGACGCATTCGTTCTCTGAGACTCCTCAAGCTTTCAGGGGGAAAGCTCTAAAGGCCTTCCAGGGGTATGTGCCAGGAGGAGGTCCTCTGAGAATGCCATTCTAATTGTGGGGACGAGAGGTAGACTTGGCAACCTTGGCTCACCCATTTGGACCATCCCCTCCCCACCCAGGCAGGGCAGGGCCAAGCCTGTGTGGTCCCACTGGCAACCCCACCATCCCACACACCTCACCTTCCACATGGCCAGGACCAGAAGGGTGAGCAGCAGCAGGCCACCCAGTACGCCCACCAGCATCCACCAGATCGGAACAGCTCTGTCTTCCAAGGCCTGGAGCAGCTGCGTCCGCACCTGAGGGCAAACAGAGCATCTCTCTGGTCACCTTGACACCTGCCTTTCACAAGGACCCAAACCTGGGGCCATGTCCCTCAGTCTAGCTACCCACTTGTACCACACCTCAGACCCAGCAAAAAGGACATATCCTGGCTGGGCAGGGACACAGGGAGACCAATGCGCTCTGCAGGATTCCTCTTCTCCCCTATGCCCCCACCCCAATCCCACTCACCAGAGCTTCCCCGCTGGGCAGACGGAGAGCAGGCACCGCGTACGGCAGGGAGGAGACGTTGAACCAAGCTTGAGACTGCAGCACGAACTGATCCAGCGGCCTCTGGAAGCAGGAGGGATGAAAGCCATTTACACCCATGTGAGGCCTATGGGTTCCAAGAGTCCAAGCCCAAGACTTCCGGCCAGGGTTAGTCCTGCTCCTGCACCCAAAGTAAACCACGCCCTCACGATCTACCCGCCCCCTGAAGCCCCGCCCTTTCTTGCAGCACACAAGGTCCCTGCCTCCCTGCCTCCCGGCCCCGCCCACCCAAGTCCAGCCCCACCTGGTCGAGGCTGGGCAGCCCCAGGAAGGCTAGCACCGTGACCATGGCCCGCTGTCCGCGCACCATCTCCTGCAGCTCACACTGCACCACAGTATAGGGCGCCGAGTCGCAGCTCTGAGGGCACATGTCATTAGTCCCCAGCTCCTCCTGGTCCATCATGCCCTCACCCCAAGCCCCAGCACAGAGCGGGGCAGAGATGTTAGGAAGCTCAGGCATTTCCTTTTGGGAAAGGATTCACATTCCAGCTTCGGATGCTATCTCTTAACCACTATGCCACCTGCCGGCCCCCGGATGCTATCTCTACTGGGGTGGTGGGTCGGGGACACAGTCCGAAGATTCAGGGAGAGGGCTGAAAAAGGCAGGTCACACACACAGCTCCACACGTGTAACCTTGCGGTGGCAATTTTTCATTTCTTTAATGCGTCGGGAAGCGTAAAGAATGCAGGTGTCCCCAGCCCACCTCAGATACTGGTCCAGCAGTTCTCTTGGAGTGCTTCGTGGGTCCAAGGGGGCCACTCAAGGCCCGCATCACAGCCCCGCTTCAGCCCTCCCCCTGCCCACTGGGACCCAGGGCGGCTGGCTGGAGACCACAGGGCCTGCTCACCACGAGGATGGGATCCCGAAGAACCGAGGACTGCTTGGGCCGTGGTTGCAAGGTGTTTCTGCGCTCCCGATTGCGATGGGCTGGGTGCTGGGGAGATGGGCTCGGGGTGGGCAACCTCCAGACCAGCTGGGAGGCAAAGCAGCAGTAAGGCGCTGTGGTCTGCCCCAAGTCCACGAAAGGTTGGCTGGGGACTTCCCCGCAGTCTTCCTTCCACTCAGGCTCTCACCTTGAGGGGGTTGGGAGAGGGCTGGGGGGAGCACTGAAGGCCCCCCTGGGTCTGAATATCCAGGATGTAGAGCAGGTCGGAGGGCTGGGACTGGCCAGGGAGGCAGATGCTGAGGTGGAGGCCACTCACGGTGCCAGGGCCATTGTTGTGGAGCTGCCGGGGATAGAGGCAGGCAGGCAGCCCTTAGCCGGCAGCTCCCAGGCCCCACTCCCAGGCCCTGACCCAGGCTCCTCCCTACCTCATAGGTGTGCTCCACCTTGGGGCCCCTGTCTGAGCTGTTCCGCTCCCTGTGACCATCTTCTGATGCCACCACCAGGAAGGCAGGAAAGGAGTTGCTGTGGGTACCCAGCCCCCCAGAGTGAGCTCCAGCCCCTGGCCGGCCCAGCTGCCACCTCCCTTCCCCATCCCTGGCCTCTCACCCTCGTAGCTCCACTTGGGCATCTGCCCGCACTGGCACAGCCAGCAGGACAGTCTCGCTGTTTGGATTCTGGCTGTTCTTGCTAGAGGGGAGGGAGGTAGAGAAGAGGCAGGTCAGGGCCACCAGCCCAGTGACTCTCCGGGGTAGGGCCAGGATTTTAGAAGAAAGCTAATTCACAAACAGCATGCCACACTGTAGTTGGAACTAGGGAAGAACTTCCTCCAGGCCCCAAGTCTCAGAAATAAGTCTCTGAGGAAGAAAGGGAACAGGGAGGTCTGAGGAGCAGGCATTTCGGAGGACTTCTGTATGGAAGCGGTCTGCGGGTTTCTGCATTGAGGTCAGGTGGGGAAAGGGTGGTGACAGGAGCGTTCCTCAGTTCGGTACCTCCTGAGCTGCAGCCGGAAGGACACGTGCTCCCCAGCCTCTTCCAGGTTCCCCACACTCACCAACATCATGATTCCTATCTGGGGGAGAGGGAGAGCCAAAGTCACCACCAGAATGGCTTCTGGACAGGCCTGCCCTGAATGTGGCCACAGTCCTCACCCTCCAAGGTCTCCATGGTGATCTTCATTTTACCCAGAAGCTCACTCAGAGAGGGAAAGTCACCCATGGACATGCAGCTAGGGGAGGGGAAGGCCGAGATGCCAGCCCAGAGCAAGTGATCACCAAACCCAGCCCCTAAGCCAGCCCCTACAGCCTGGCTGTCCACGATTTGGGGGATGAGGGCCAGCACCCAGGCCCAGCAGCCTCACCCGGGTGTTCCTCTTCATGGGGTTGCCCAGCTCACACAGCACCACCTTGGACTCATTCTCCTTCTTCTGGTTACAGATAAGCCTCTCAAAACCCTGCAGGGAGGTGGTCCCAAGAAAGAAGCTGGTTACTGGGCATCTCATACAGATCCATGCTTCCCCAGTAAGTCTGGGAAGATGCATATGCCAGGGTGGGGAGGGGGCTTTCTTGGGGACTGTTATGTTCTACTTTATGCATTGCTGTGTCACTTTACTATTTTTGTAAATAAAAGTTTCATTTTGGAAATAAAAAGCACAAAAAAATTAGGCTAGCCACAGTGGTGGAGTAGTAATGCAATGGTCCAGATGCTGAGGCCGGATGAGAAGGTCCCGGGTTCCCATCTGGAGGTCTCCCTTGCACACCAGTGGCGCACATGAGCTCTGTGATCTTGGCTGGCTGAGGCTGGAGGCGGATCGCAGTGTGAGGACCTGTCGGGATGCCTCTCTCTGTGTCTCTTCCTCATAGAAGAAAAAAATTTAAAAAGCTCACAAAATACTACATAGAGTGTGGTCCTGTTGTTATAAACCACAAAATAGAAAATAAATAATACCAGAGCCAGCAGGTGGCATGGTGGTTAGGGCACTGGACTCCCACATGGCTGACCACAGTTCGAGTCCTGACGTGGCAGCTTGCTTTTTCACTTTCCCTCTCTCTCTGTGTGTGACTTTTTCTTGTGAGCATATGTGCCCTATAGCAAATTAAAAAATACAATAATAATAAATAAAATAGGGTCTAGCAGGATGAATGAATAAATAAATAAAATTAAATAAATAATTCTTAAAAAAAAGAAGTAAAAAAAAAATTTAAAAAAAAAAAAAAAACCTATGTAAGAGCCTGCCAAAGTCGAGTAAAAAGACTGGAAGAAAATCCATCAGATGTTTTTTGTTTTTTCTTTTAAGAGAGATTTTTGCTATAGGTTGCATGTGTTTACCGGAGAGACAGAGACAGAGAGACAGAAAGTGAGAAATCACTCCCCAGGGGAGACAGCCATGTTGTAATCCCTTCTCCTCCATTCTTTTTTGAAAATTATTTTATTATTATTATTATCATTATTACTTTAATTTGACCAGAGACAGAGAGAGCAAGTGAGAAAGCAAGCTGACAGGCCCAGGATATGAACTGTGGTTGACCATGTGGGAATCCAACACCTTAACTACCATTCCACCTTCTGGCCCCACCTTCCTTTCCATTCTCCTCTTGGAATCTTGGGCACACATGCACATGCGCCCAGCATGAGTTTTAAGCCACTAAGCCACAAGGGTCCAAACTCAAACCGCGGTTGATTACATGAGAGTCCAGCAACATAACCATTACACCAACTGCTGGTCCCAGGAAATCCACCAAATGTTAACAGAGGAACCTCTTGAGCTATTTTGGAGGGTGTTTATAATAAGATTCTTCAGGGGCCGGCAGGTGGTATGGTGGTTAAGGGCACTGGACTTCCACATGGGTGCCTGTGGTTCAAGTACTGAATCTGGCGGCTTGCTTTCTCACTTTCCCTCTCTCTCCCACTCTGTCCCTTCTGGTCAAAAATAAATAAATAAATAAATAAATAAAGTTCAATAAAATAATTCTTTAAAAAAAATAAGATTCTTGAGTTTTGTGCCATTAGCAAGCATTCTTTTTCCAAATTAAAAAAATTCAAAAACACATCTTTTACAGCAAAGCATTAAGAGGAGTGGGAGCTCTCAGGGTAGGAGATGAGAGTCCAGGGTCCCGCATCCCCCAGGTTGTTGGCCATGTCCTAGTCACCTCACCTCAAGGTTGCTGACGGCCCGCATGTAGTGGGCACCTGGGGGCAGGTGCATGGCCAGCTCTGCTTCGTAGGCCCCCTCGCCCTCGTTGGCCGCATCTATCTGTAGCTCCAGCACGTTATCGGCTCCAATTAGGAGCGGGGCGCCTTTCCTGTGAGAAGAAAAGCGAGAAGCCAGGGAGCCTTAGTCTGGAGAAGGAGAGGGGCCTGGAGTGGAGGGCAAGTCCCAAAGGGCAGAGGGCCAGGGTAGGGCAGAGTGTGGGGGGGGTCTCCTCACACACTGGCCGTGAGCTGAAGCTGGGGCACGCACAGGTCATCTTCCCCACAGTCCAGGATGATGCGGGTCTAGAGTGGGCACATCGGGGCATGTGGTAAGCTGGGGTCACGTGAGGTTCGGGGGTCACATTGGATTAGGAAAACAATGTACTTGGGTGAGCATCAGGACTTAGGGCATAAGAAGCTCAGAGGACGAAAAGGAGTTTGGAGCTGACACCAGGCTTTGGGTTTCCTATGGAGGTTGGAGATGATGTCAGGGTTTTGGTGGTGCTATCAGGCTTATGGGTTTATATCAGAGTCTAGGGGATGTTGAAATTCGGGGTTCCATTAGGGTTTAGAACGATGTCAGATACTAGAGGTGACATCAAAAGTTCACATCTTGACTTGGGTACTAACCCTAACCCTGACTTTCTGTCAGGGGTCCTGCCCCCCCACCCCCCTTGCCTGCCTCAGCCTGTCCCCACCTGCTCCTGGACATGAGTGTCTCCATACAGCACAAGAGCAGGAGCCACTGCAGCCTCCTCGAGCTTCAGGGACACATTGAGACTAAGCACGATGGGGCTCAGCTTGTCCCGGAAGTCTGCCTCGTCCTGGTGGAAGAGGGGCAAGAGTCAGGCCATCTTGCTACCAGGCATAGCATCTTCTCCTGGCCAGTTGGGACAGCACCCAACCCAGTGCCCCAGGGCTGGATGGACAAGTCTGGTGGGGGAGCCCTGCCAAGCCCCAGCCTGAGCATACTCGAAGGAAGGCTGTGGTGGTGTGGCAGATGGGGCTGTGCCTTCCGCCCAGGTCCAAGGTCAAGGTGAGGCTTGCCTGTTGAGAGACCAACAAGAGCACCCGCCGGCCCTGGCGGGGCTTCTGCCTGTCCAGCTGCAGCTCAGCATTGAGGTCTGGCAGGGCAGGCAGGAAGGGTTAGGACCACCATGGCCAGCCTCCAGGGAGCCCCAGGCCCACCTCCCTGCCCCTTCTAGGCCACTCACACAGCTTCTGAGGAATGTTGTAGCCGGTGGCTCCCACACACATCTGGATATTGAAACTGCAAAGACATGAGTGGGGCTCTGGGGCCAGGGTTTCTCTGGGCCCCAGCTCCTGTCTGGCCCATGCCCTATCCTCACCAGGTCACTGGTATCTTGGTCTTGGGCAGGATACAGTTCTTCACAGCAGGGTTCAGCGAATCTTGCACCAGCAGCTGGACTGTGGCCATCACCACTGGCTGAGCTCTGATGGGACCAAGGGAGGCTTGTCACTGTGACCCTTCCTGCCCGGCCCCTCTGCCAGCTCCTCCCCACTCTGCCAGTGGAGCCAGTACTCACCTATACACAGCCACCTTGTCAGCCCCATACGCTCCTACCAGCAGGTCTATAGACATTGGGGAAGGATTCAGAATTGGGAATTAAGAGGGCTTCCTAGGGGTTCCCCACACCAGCTCCCTATTAGAGGTTTGACCTGTTCCCCAGAATCCCAGCTGCACAAATGGGTCAGAGCCCATGGTGGGGCACTAGGTTAGGGCTTCTGGCTATACCATCAGTTCCAGCCAATGCCCTTCTGTCTTGCTAGAGGCAGTCCAGGGGTACCTGGGTATCCGTTGTCATCGATGTCTACGGCACCTCGCAGGGAGAAGCCAAAGCCAGAGCCTTTGAGGAAGGGGCTGTCCAGGGTCTGGGAAGGGCGGGAACTCAGTCCCTCACTCTGACCCAGGAACACCAGCACCTGGCCCCGGCCACCAGGGCCCCCATAGGGAGCAGCCACAGCAACATCTAGAAGGAGTAATAGAAAGGTACTGGCTTTGTTATTCAGTCTCCCCAGAAGACCCTACGGCTTTCCTGAGCTCCTCTCTGGACAGACTCTGGAAGAGTTCTCATGGGAGAAGCACAAAGTTTGGGTCAAGGAGGAGGTCGCCCTGCTCCCACAGGAGTTTACAGTCAAGTAGGAGAGAGACGTGTCAAGCGGGATTGTTAAATAAAGACAGCCCTTGTGGGGCCAGCAGGTGGTGTGGTGGTTAAGATGGCTGGATCCCACATGCCTGACTGTGTGGTTTGAGTCCCAGACCCGGGGCTTGAAAATCATGTTGGGTGTGTGTGCATGTGTATGTGCCTAAAATTCTGAGAGCTGATTGGAGGAGAAGGAATCATGGTGTAGTCATCCACCTGGGAGAGGTGGTTTCTCATTTTCACTCTCTATGTCTGTCTCACTCTGCTGAGCAGATGCACCCTATAGCAAAAATAAAAACAAAGACAAACAATCAAAAAACAAAGAAAAAAAGAGCCCTCATTATCTATTGAGGAAAATATATCAACAAGATTTCACCTAACCCTGAAAAAGCCATTATTATTCTCACTTTTTTTTTTTTAAGAATTATTTTATTGAACTTTAATGAATTTAATTTATTTATTTAAATTTGACCAGAAAGGGACAGAGAGAGAGAGAAGTGAGAAAGCAATCTGCCAGGTCCAGGACTCGAACCATGGTCAGTCATGCGGGAGTCCAGTGCTCTTAACCACCACGCCACCTGCTGGCCCCATTCACACTTTGTTTTATTTTTTTTTTAATTATTACTATTATTATTTTTTGGAGAGTTTTTTTGCTATAGGGCGCGTGCACTAGCCAGAAAGACAGAGAGAGACAGAGAGACAGAAAGCAAAAAATCACCCCCCAGGGGTGATGGCCACACTGCAATCCCTTCTCCTCCATTCTCCTCTTGGAATCTTGGGCACGCACGCACAC